TGTTGTCTGTGGTGCTGAGAGAATGAGAGGCACCCCTGACCCATGGCAAGGGTCACTGCAATGGACCTCTAGTTGGCATTCTGTGTTCTCTTTCATGCGCTCCAAGCTGTTTTCCACATGACTACAAGCATCTGGCTTCAAATTGGATGACATCAATGTCCTGCCTAATGTCTTCTACTGCTGTGCCCTTGACTCCATGCTAAAAGAAGTCTTTCATGGCCTTTGCCTTCCTCTCCAGGCACACCTTACACCACTCTTGTTCCCCATTCCTTCCTCAAAGTTGGGGCTCCAGCTACATGAAACACTTTGTGTTTCCTAGAGAGCTGCATGTGGTTTGTTGCTTCCATATAATATTCTGCCTGGCAATCCCTTATCTAATTGGTTTCCTTGGTAAGCCTGCCTCTTCCTTATTCTCTCGTTAGAGAGATGTCGTGAAACTCCTCCACTCCTTTGCTTTGCAAGCTTGTAACACTGTGTCTACTTACATTCCAATTGAAGCACAATGCGACACTATCGTACAAATCATTAATTTATTAGCCGATATCCCAAGCTGGAATATAAACCAGGACAGGCACTTCTATAAGATTGCTGTTTTAGTTTCCACAAATGAGTCAGAACATACGGCATTTATCTTTCTGTGTCTTGTTTTTGCAATTACCATAATTAGAAATCCAGTTTCATCTGCATTACTGCAAATGATAGAATTTATTTTTTAATGGCTGAATAATATTTCATAGTGTATGTGTGCCCACACAACACATTTGCTTTATCCATCCTCCACTCATGAATACCTGGGTTGATTCCATATTTTAGGTACTGTGACTAGTGCTGCAATAAACACAGAAGGGTAAGTATCTTTTTCTTTGAATATATGCCTAGTGGCAGAATTATTGGATCACATTGTAGCTCTATTTTAGTTTATTTGAGGAATCTCCATACTGTTTTCCATAGTGGCTGTACTAGGTTATATTCTCACAACAGTATGTAAGAATTCCCCTTTCTTTGATTTTTTTGGCTTTTTGATGACAGCCATTTGAACGGGGGTGAGATGGCATTTTTTTGTGGTTTTGATTTGCACTTCCCTGGGAATTAGTGAAACTGAGTGTATTTTCTTTCCATTACATTGTTGCCCATTTGTACACTTTCTTTTGAGAATTGTCTGTTCAGATTTATAGCCCATTTTAAAATTCTATTTGTTTTAGTGTCCATTTTTGAGTTTTTAAAACTATATTTTAGGTATTAATTACTTGTTAGACAAATAGTGCTTAAATATTTTCTCCCTTTCTATAGCTCTTCTCTTACTTACTGTTTCCTTTGCTATAAGGAAGCTTCTTAGCTTGATATAATACGATTTACATATTTTTACTTTGGTTGCCTGTGCTTTGGACCTTTGGGGTCTTATTTAAAAAAATCAAGGTCTCTGCCAATATCCCAAAGTGTTTCCCTCTAGTAGGTTCAGAGTTTTTAGTCTTTCATTAATGGTCTTTGATCCATTTTAATTTTATTTTTCCATATAGTAAGTAAGAGGAAGAATACAGTTTCATTCTTCTGCATTTTCATATCCAATTTTGCCATCATCATTTATTGAAGAGGACATCCTTTCTCTATTGCATGCTCTTGGTGCTTTTGTCAAAAATCGGTTGGTTGGATGAATATGGATTACTTTCTGGGTTCTCTGTTCTGCTCCATTGCGCTATGTCAGTACCATGTTGTTTTGATTGCTATAGATCTGTAGTATGATAGATTGGTGGAAGTCAGGCAGTGTGCTTCCAACTATTTTTTTCTCAGTTCTAACACTTTAGTTATTCCAACTGTCTTATGGTCCCATATGAATTTCAGGCTCACGTGTTAAAGGTCAACTGATGAAGGTTGTTGGTAGTGATTGGATCATAAGCAATGAGTTTATCAGTGGATCAATCCATTGATGTAGTCACAGTTTGATTGCATTATTAAGAAGTATGGAGATTTACCAGGCAAGGACTAGTTTGAGGAGGTGGTGGGTCATTAGGAGCATGCATTTGAAGGGCATATCTTGTTCCCAGCCCCTCTTGACCTTACTCTGTTTCCTCAGCACAATGAGGTGAGTAGCTTTGCTCTACCATATGCTCCCTGTCATGATGTTCTGCCTCATTTTGGACCAAAAGCAGTGGAGATGGCCAACCATGGACTGACACCTCTGATACTGTGAGCCTAAATACATCTTTCCCCTTTTAAGTTTTTTTGTTCCTCAGGTATTTCATCACACTAACAAACTGACTAATATAATTTCTGTGAAGTCATTGGTCTTTTTATGGGAATTGCTTTGAATCTGTAGATTTCTTTGGGTAGTGTAATCATTTTAATATTGATTCCTTTAATCTGTGGACAAGAAATACCTTTCTGTGTTTTACGTCCTCTATGACTTTTTTCATCAGTGTTTTAGTTTTCATTGTAGAGATCTTTTACTTCCTTGATTAAATTTATCCTAGATATGTTAATTTTTGTAGTTTGGTGAATGAGATTGTTTTCTTAATTACTTTTTCATCAAGTTCATTATTGGCATACAAAAATGGTACTTTTTGTATATTGATTTCATATCCTGCAAATTTACTGAATTTGTCTGTGAATTCTGACAGCTTTTTCATGGAGTATTTAGTTCTTTGTCTTTTTTCTTCTCCCTCCCTCCCTCCATCTCCCCTCACTTCCTTCTTTCCTTCCTTTCTTGTTTTTGAGACATGGTGTTGATATATAGCCCAGGGTGGTCTCAAACTTGTGATCCTAATGCCTTAGCCTTCTGAGTGCTGGGATTACAGTTATATGCCACAATACCTAGCTTTTAAAAGTATCAGATATGTATCTGACAGGAAGAATTTTGTCTTGTATTTCTGGATTGAACCCAGGGCCTTGTGTGTGTCAGGGAACCACTGTACCACTGAGCTGCATACCCAACCCTTCAATTACCCATGGGTCATTTAGAAGTAATTCAATTTCCATGTATTTGTATACTTTTTATTTTTTATTCCTGTTGATTTGTAGTTTTATTCCACTGTGGTTGGAAAACATGATATGATTTCAGTTTTGAAAATAATTTATTGAGGCTTGATTTGTGGTCTAACATATGACGTATCCTGGAGAATCTCCATGTGCTGACGAGAAGAATGTGTGTTCTGCTCTTGTTGGACTAAATGTTTTGTAAGTGTCTGTTAGTTTCACTTGCTCTAAAATATAGTTCAAGTGACATTTCTAGAGCCACAGGATGGAGTGGTCTTTCCTGTATCCTGTAGGGTGAGCACAGGTAATGCTGGCTGTGCCACTGCAGACATCAGGTTGTATAGTCCAAATACACCCTTCCCTATATCAAATGATACAATTGTGGTTGATGTGGGGGGTTTGTAGCATTGTAGCTGCTTTTCTGGAGCTTCCGGACTCAAATGGTACCTTTTCTAGTTTCCAAGGGGTGGGCACAAATGATATTCAGGCTTTTGGCTCCAACTGCTACTGTTCCAAGTCTGTGGGTTATGAAGGTGATCTTCCCTAGGTGTTTCATGGCATGTACAGGAATGGTTGTACATGTGACACTGGCATTCATTCTCCTGAATGGATAGGGTTCTGTGGTTGAGCAGGTGGCACTAGGGCCTCTGTCTTTGGCATCTGTTGTCCTAAAGCTACAGGTCATGAATAGGAATCTCTCTAGGTAACTTGGGGTAAGAACTGGTAGAACCAAGGATTCTGGCATTGGTAGCCATGGTCCTGGAGTTGTATAGTATGCAAGGGACCTTCCCCTGGTCCCCAGGGACAAGAGTGAGTGACTTGGGGGCTCTTTTCATCAGCAGCTGCAGTCTCCAGGCTGTGATTTGGGGAGGAAACCTTCCTTACTTCCCTCATGTGAGTGCAGATGTTGTTATGTCTGGGATGCTGGCAGTCCCTATCCTGGAACTACAGAACATGAATGGAACCCACCTAAGACTCATTAGGGTAGGCCCATGGGAAGCAGGGACTTTTTGCCCCAGCTGCAGCAGTCCTAAGACTGTGGGCTAGGGAGGAGATCTTCTCTCCTTCCTGCTGGGTGAGTGCAGGTGGTATGGGACTTAGGGTGCTACATTTCTGGAGCTGTAGGATGTAGCTGGAACCATCCCCAGGTACCTAGGGACAGTCAGTGCTGGGTGATGCTGGGCTTTTTGCATGAGCACACAGTTCTAAGGTTGTGAGTTGGGTTGGAGACTGCTCCTAGTTCCCACTGGGTGAGTGCAGGTGGCAAGTGGATTGGGACATTGCCAACAGCATTTCCTAGAGCTGCAGGAAGTAACTAAGACTTTCCCTGTTCCCGTCAGACAGGGCTGTGTGTAGCTGGGACTTTGCACCAGCACCTGCAGTCCCAAGACTGTTGGCCAGGGAGGAGGCCTTCCCTAGTACTGTGGGCAAGTGCTGATCAGACTGGGGCTTGTGACAGTGGCAACTGCTGGTCTTGAAGCTTCAAAAAGGTCTCTGTCCTCTGCCCAGTGAGGCACACACAGGCCTAAGGCTTCTGGCAGGGGTCTGGCTGTTGTCCCCTAAGGCAGGATGTCATCTAACCGTGGCTGTTGTAGTAGCTAGGGTCCTGGGGGGTGGGGGATAGCCCAATGTGAGATCCTTTTGGGCTGGGGTGTAGCTCGGTGGTACAGCGCTTGCCTAGCATGCGTGAGGCCCTGGGTTCTATCCCAGCACCAAAAAAGAAAAGACAAAAAAAAAAAAAACCTCTCCCCCAATGTGAGATCCTTTTAAAGCTTACAAGGATGATGTAGATTCTCCTGCAGTTTGGCTTCCACTCTGTTACTATGAAGACATTCCCACCTATTTTTTCCTAGCAGTGTGCAGTTCTCCCCTCAGTAGGCAATGGGGTTGTTATTCCCATTTTTCTTTTGTCTGTGTTGCCTTTGTAACTGACTGTCCATGCTGTTTAGGGTTCCATAACTATCATTGATTTTCAGGTTCTCCCTTAAATTACTCTCAAAATTCCTTTGTTGCTTGGCTTTTCTCCACAGCAGAGTCCCATGTAGGACTCAGCCATGCTGGATCTGCTCTGAGAGTGGAAGATGTAACCTATCTTCACAACAAAGCAGGTTCCTAAGAAGCTGTCTGAGAGCGTTCACCTGAGACACCTGAGGCAATGATATTCTGGAGAATGAAAAGATTTAAAAGCACTCCAGGCACAAAGAATCCCATCCTTACTCAGGCAAGGCTTGTTTTCAAGCAGCACTGGTATTTGTGACATTAGTACACAGACTGGGGAGAGGGGCAAGTTCAGGATGTTTTGTTTGGACACAGTGCTTCTAAAATCTTGTTTTGTTGCATTTTTGGTCAAGAATGAAAGACTGACAGGTATTTGACTCTAGAAAAAAATGTAGTTTGTCAGGAAGAATAGGGCTTCTGGCAGAAAGGAAGCTGCTTTTGGAGATGTGTCCTGGAATTTATTTTTAGCAGTCTCAAACTTGTGCTGTACCATTATTTAAACTCCACTCATTAAAAACCCACTTTGCTTCACCATCCCAGATAATAAAAATCTGACTTACAAAATTGGCAAACAATGAAATGAGGTTATGTAAGAAATAATATTTTAGAAACAAAAAGGCCATCTGGCCCAATGACTATCTTATTATTTAACTAATTTAGGAAATACCTAGTCCTTACATGTAGATAACTATGTGGGTGGGAAATTGAGAAAATACACTTTCACCCTGATGTTTTTCACTTTATGAAAACTACAACTCCCCCCAAACTGATGTGTATGTTGCTAATATATGTAAATATGTTAATGTCAAGTTTGAATGTGGTCACTACTGCTTATAAATAAATATCATTATGTGCTAAAATAAATTTCTTGAAAAAGAATGTAGAACTAGAAGATAAAACAATTTGGTTAGGGGAATCAAACATGAAATAAGAAAACTAAGTTTTACTGAATTTTTTGTCATCGTACAATTATCACCAACATTTACATTCTTTACTTTTAAAAGTTGACCAAGTAGATGAAATTCAGAACAAATTACTTTTATTTAAAATTGTATAAGTAATTTTCCATTTATTGATCATTACAGTAGCAAAACAAATTTTTGAAATTAAAAAAGCAAGAGTTTTTTTTTTTAAACAAAGCTTGTTAAAATGGTGCTATAAAGGAAATAAAAATATATGATATTTTGGAACATGTACAGACCACCTAAGGGAGAGGAGAGAATGTTCAAAGTAACACCATGTGGGAAGAGAAGCGTGATAGACAGGGTTTGCTGGGAGAAAGGCATGATATAAGATTTAAATTTCAAAAGATTTTCTTTTTTTTTAAACAACTTCTTACTTTCTTGAGTTACCACACAAAATGTCCACAGTTTTATGAACTAGTTCTACTATTGTTTTATTTGTACTTAAAGATTAAAGTGATTTATTCTTAGAGCCAAGACAGATTACATCTTTCTGTTGTTGCTACCATGATTTGGGAAAAATATTACATGAAATTTGTTATGTTATTTTTCTTTTTACTTGCCAGTTATGAGGCAGAGGAAAAGTTTTAATTATGAGATACTGCATATGATATGTATTTAAATAAGTGCATATATTAAAATGGTGTCACAATGACATTACTTCTAACATGGCAAAAATGGCTTAAGTCACATTCTGTTGATACAGTATGGGGCAGCTCCCAGTTCAGAGCACACAGATCAGAGTGAGGCTGCTGTGGGAGGTACATAGGTCTGTCTTTCATTGCCCATAGGATCTTGGACAATAAACAGGTTTTCTGGGTCTCAAATGCATCTGTCACATTGGGATGCTATTTGTAGTATCTAACATTTAGTGCTGTTTTGAATCTAGATGTATAAATATATTCAAAACTGTCAAGAGTACTGTGAGTTTGTAAGAAGTGCCATATTATTAGTTATTTTTATCATTAAATGTTAGGACTGATGTCAGCTGTGCAGAGGTCATCCAGTACTTCATACAATTTTGTGATGGGAAAAGATACCACAGTCCCTTATGTTACTGGTAAAGGATGATTACATAACTTCTAAAGTGAGTCATGACATAATAAGTGAGACCAGTGTAGATTTAACACTAGGGCATAAGAAGTACATTTAAACAGAGAAAGATACAGAATGAGAAGAGAAAACAAAGCTAGGAGAGATAAAGAAAGGAAAATATAAAGCAAGGAGAAAATTAATGTGACCTTTAGAAAGAACTTAAAGATTCATTCAGTGAATGTAAAAGAGTGGTAAAGAATATAAGATAAACTGATTCTGAGCTGGGTTCTAAATATTTCCCTTTTATTTCTCCATTAGGGAGAGGGACCTGTGGGTAAAAGAAGGGATCTACAGACATGATGCCCCAGGATCCTTTCTGAGAAGGCTGGAGGATGTAGAGAAGGGCTCCATAGCATTGATGGGGATAAAAGTGAATCTGATTTCTTCTGCTGGAAGATTCCTACAGAATGTCAGATGGAGGGGAAGTACAGCAGTATCATAGGAGAGTTTTCTGGAATCTTCTGTGTCTGCCCTAACTTGCCTCACAGAAAGCCTAGCCCAAATGCTTTAACTCCCTCTAGGTAATTGTAACTTGCTGTGCATTAGAAGAAGAAAACTAGCATTTTAAAAGAAAGGAGCCAGATAACTTGGTCTAATTTCAAAAGGTGAATGATAATAACTAGCTGTGCTGTTTTGTTGAGGCTCAGTCTAGATAGATCATCTTTATTTCTTTTGGCCATGAGGAAGCAGGAATAGATTTATCACACTGATTTTCTATACTGTGTGCATAATTACAAACTATAAATACAAGCCTCCTCCAAGAGGGCTCAGCCCCAACAGCCCTTAGCCATGTGGAGGATAATATCTAATTATTTTTCTAGCAACATACCAGGAACCTAGTTTTCTGAAAAAAGAAATGCCTTTGTAAATGAGCTATTGGGGTTAAAGTCAGACTCAGGGATGGGGGAAAACAATTTAATTAGTAAATCCAAAAGGAAGTTACCAGTTTTCTAAAAGAAAATTAATTCTATTCCAATTCACTTAGGAGTTTTAAAGAAAGGCACTGACAGTTGATTAGATTATCAACTAAACTACAATGCTGTGTAAGTAGTATTGGGTTCCAAGTTATAGTTTTAAGATAGTATAGTCAATTGACATCCATTAATCTAGACTCATGTCTTTCTTTATCTTGTTCTCTAATTCTTCATTATTTGTTGAAGTAATAAGGTCTTCATTAGCTAATTTCAAACTAACAGAGAGCCTCACTGAAATGCCCTTCACTTCCCTCAAGTAAATACCCATGGTTCATGCCATTTCAGACACTAATCATATCCCTCAGTTTTCATGTAATTGTGTGATCTTTAGATAAACAATCTATATGAATAGATCAGTGCCTGACAATAGACTCTATTCCATCTTGTTGCCAATATAGGTCATCTGTAGGGACAGTACCTTGATCTAGAGAAATAACACTAATGGCGTATTTTTCATCCTGTAGAGAGCTAATGAAAGAAAGGACTTAGGCAGCACATACTTAGCTCTACTGAGTTATAGTTCTAAGTAGCCACCAACTTATCTAAGGGAGAGGGTGTGCCTTAATGGGTAGCTCATGCCAGTCTTTATATGAGGTGACCACATCATTACATAATTATATATGCCAGGGCATTTTGACAGTAAAGGAAAAGCTGCTAATAATTATGCTAGACAACAAGTGTAGACTAGGATTGTCCTAGGCAAACAAATGAGTTATATGTTTATTTTGTGCCCAGATGGAAACCAGTGATTCTATCACTATGAATTTTTTCTCTATCATTATAATTTTTGATTCAAACAATAAAAGGTTACTGCTATATTTATTTGTTAACTGTGTTTCTAGAAAGAAAACCAGATTTGAGGACCATATTAGGTTAAATAATAAGTTTTTCTGTAGGCTTTTGTTTCTAAACTGGGCCTTTTTTTTCCCCACTGCAACCCTTTTGTAGTTTTTTATTACACATAAAAACACATACGTGAGGTTATGCAGTTCAGTGGAAAGTATTGGGCCTTTGGAAAATGAAGAATCTTAATTCAGATCTTCATTATCAATCTCTAGCTGGGTGATTTTGGATAAAGTACTTAATAGTTTTCAGTCTTTTATCCTTCATTGGTAAAATGGTTGTATACCTCCTGTGTTATGAAGACTATTTCAATACTGGAAATATGTGTACCTCCATAGTGGTTGTTATTACAATAGTATGCATATCTAATATTTTTGATTGAGGAATTCACCTGAAGCTACATTAGGCTAAAAAATAATTTTCACTTTGGTGGCACCAGTACTGAAATATGTGAGGCAAACTAAATTCTTCAAAGATGTATAAACCAAATGGAGATCCCAAACATTCTACAATTGTAGAAAATCCATAGAAGTATTTTTATAAATGTCACAATTGGCTGACAGATGGCTTTGGCAATGATCGTATTTAAGTTTAACAATCCATTTCCAATGCAGCAGAATTGAAAATATAATAATAGCGCTCATTAGGGGAAAACATATCATCTTCGTCTATCACATCATCCAAACAACCTCTTTCATTGTAAAATAGACATTTACTATTTCCTTTGAAAAATGACAAAAAGAAGTAGAATGGAGAGAAACTAATTGGACTTTTGCCCACGTTCAACATTTGTTGTTTATGGATAAATGGTCTTCCAGTGGTTTCACAAGACAATTTTGCTTATGTAGACTATTAAATGTGCTCCTTAACTAAATCAGAGCAGCTGGGTAGGGAACTGCTATGCACATTTATGCTCAAGGATGGAAAATACATAATCATTAGGATGTGACAAAAGATAAATTGTCTGCCCAACATTGAAGATTCAGAACTAATAACATGGAAAATTATTTTGATTCTTTTACTGCCTGTGAGTGTAGAGTTACATACAATACTGCATTAGACTAATCTGTATGATTTTCAAGAGGAAATTAATAAATTTCTGTAGTGGCTTATGCTGTATGCTGTGGTTAGAAGGGTCTCTTTATGACTAAAAAGAAGATTTAGCATTCAACAGTGCAGTGCTCCTTAAGCGTCTGCGTGTATCAGGATTACCTCTAGGGTTATTGAAACACAGGCTGAAATGTTGCTGAAATGATTGGACATTCATCTGGAAAAGAATAAGGTTAGACACATACCCCACATCATATCCAAGCATTAAGTCAAAGATCTAAATATGTAACTAG